AACAGAGTAGCCTCCCTAAGGGGCAAGAGGCCTGGGGTTAGCCAGACACTTTCAACCAGCACTGCTTGTGCCATAATTAGCTACATCTTTGCCAGAGATGACAGAGTTAATTGGGGTCATGTGACAGCCTACATTGCCTGAGCCTTGGAAAACCCCATTTTGCTACAGGAACTCTGGGAATCAAAAGACAGGACTCTGCAGCACTTTAAAGACTAACAAGATGGTTTATTAGGTGATGAGCTTTCGTGGGCCAGACCCACTTCCTCAGATCAAATTGTGGAAGAAAATTGGCATGACCATATTTTGTTACACAATTTGATCTGAGGAAGTAGGTCTGGCCCACGAAATCTCATCACCTAATAAAACATGTTGTTAGTCTTTAAAAAGCTGCATAGTCCTGTCTTGTTTCAGCAAGACCAGACGAACACAGCTACATCTCTATTACTATTCTGGGAATCAAGATTGAGCTCTTGTGGAAGGACCTGAAGTAGGATCTGAAAGAGAAGCTGAGGATACGGGAAGGAACATGTGAGTGAAGGCTCGTGACAAAGTTAAACAGGCTTAAAAGGTACTACAGAGGGCCAGAGAAATGTTCATCAATATATGACAGTCTAATACACTTTGAGTATGTCTACACTACAAAGTTAATTCGAACTAACAGATGTTAGTTCGAATTAACTTTGATAGGCGCTACACAGGCAAACCGCTAGTTGGAACTTAATTCGAACTAGCGGAGCGCTTAATTCGAACTAGGTAAACCTCATTCCACGAGGACTAATGCCTAGTTCTAAATAAGTAGTTCGAATTAAGGGCTGTGTAGCCAGTTAATTCGAACTAGTGGGAGGCTAGCCCTCCCCAGCTTGCCCTGGTGGCCACTTTGGGCACCACCAGGGAAACTCTTCTGCCCCCCTCCCGGCCCCGGAGCACTTAAAGGGGCATGGTCTGGCTACGGTGCCCGTGCCAGGGGCAAGCCTGCCAGCACCCAGCCAGCAGAACCTGCACCTGGCACGGCACGAACCAGCCACCCGCTGCCACCCAGCCCTCTGCCTCTTCCCGGGACCAGGCTGGCGGCTCCCCCGGGCCCGCCCACGCCCAGGCCCGCAAGAGGCGGGCACCCGTCTGGTCTAGTGCGGAGATCGTGGACCTCATCCATGACCTCCGCACTAGGCACAGGAAAGTGGCCGTCTAGGGCAGGATAGCTGCCAGCCTGGCCACCCTGGCGTAGGTTTGCATGAAAATCAGGCTGGTCCAGTGAGACCCCCGACCCTGAGCCCTGAGCTTAGAACGGCCGTACTGGGTCAGACCAAAGGTCCATCTAGCCCAGTAGCCTGTCTGCCAACAGCGGCCAAAACTGACCTCCGCACTAGGCACAGGAAAGTGGCCGTCTAGGGCAGGATAGCTGCCAGCCTGGCCACCCTGGCGTAGGTTTGCATGAAAATCAGGCTGGTCCAGTGAGACCCCCGACCCTGAGCCCTGAGCTTAGAACGGCCGTACTGGGTCAGACCAAAGGTCCATCTAGCCCAGTAGCCTGTCTGCCAACAGCGGCCAAAACTAGGTATCCTGGAGGGGATGGACCGAAGACAATGAACAAGCCATTTGTCTCGTGCCATCCATCTCCAGCCTTCCACAAACAGAGGCCAGGGACACCATTTCTACCTCCTGGATAATAGCACTCCATGGACCCAACCTCCATGACTTGATCTAACTTCTCTTTAAACTCTGTTCTAGTTCTAGCCTTCACAGCCTCCTGCAGCAAGGAGTTCCACAGGTTGACTCTTTGCTTTGTGAAGAACAACTTTCTGTTATTACTTTGAAGCCTGCTACCCATTCATTTCATTTTGTGTCCTCTAGTCCTTCTATTATGGGAACTAATGAAGAACTTTTCGTTATGCACCCTCTCCACACCACTCATGCTTTTATAGACCTCTATCATATGCCCCTTCAGTGTCCTCTTTTCTAAGCTGAAAAGTCCCACTCTCTTTAGCCTTTCTTCATATGGGACCTGTTCCCAACCCCTGATCATTTTAGTTGCCCTCCCCTCTCCCACCCTCTCTCTTCCCCTCTCCTACCTCCTTTTCCAAGTCTCCCCGAGTTCTGTTCAAGAGAGTTTCTATTTTTGAACACACGTGTCCTTTACTTTGTACATCAGGAAGGGGGGCTAGGGAGGGGTAAGTGGAAGGAGGTGAGGAAGGAATGGGGTACGAGCCCCCAATGGGGAGGACTGGGGTCTCTCTGTGGGCTCTTCGGGGTGGAAGCTCTCCTGCCGCCCCCCGATTGACCCCCCCGAATGGCAGCCTGCGGCAAGCGCAGCCAGGCTGATGGCTGAGTGCTGTGATGTGCCGAGTGTGGGCACTCAGGGCACTCCAAGCCAGGACTGCTTTGCAAGCGGGGAACCCTGAGAACTGTCTGTCCGGGGTGGGGGTCGGGTCCCTTTAAGCACAGCCCTCGGCTAGCCTGAGACAGCAGCTCCATTTCTAAGTCCCAATCTGATGCCCTGCCGGCACTGCTTCCGGCCATCCTTAACCCTGGTTCAGGGTCCACTCAGTGTGGACATGCTAGTTCGAATTAGTAAAATGCTAATTCGAACTAGTTTTTAGGTCTAGATGCACTAGTTCGATTTAGCTTAGTTCGAATTAACTAATTTGAATTAAGTTAGTTTGAATTAGTGCTGTAGTGTAGACATACCCATATATATATCACATTACTATTCCTGACAAACATATTAATATGTATTGAGTACACAATATAGCACTATGTTGCATCTATCTATCTATCTATCTGTCTGTCTGTCTGTCTGTCTGTCTATCTATCTATCTGTCTATCTATCTATCATGCAGCCTTGGGATTGGAAAATAGAAACTTTGTCAAAGGCAAAATGCATTACTGCTGTGCTCTTGTACAAGCTGTAGAGGTACCATCATGGCCCAGTACCTGGAATGCTGGTGTCCAAAACAAGATAAGGAAAGGTATGGAACAAGAAGTTAAGGAACTGGGATGAACTGGTGTGTTGGATTTTAGTGATTTTTTTATAACTTGTAAGGTCATCCAGTACATACTACAGTTACACAGCTGAAATGTGTAACTCTGGAAGCACATTTTTTGTGCAAGGTGAATGAAAAAAATTGCATGAAACTGCTTCCCAGAAGCTGGTATTGCATTCACCTTTTTTTCCTATACTATGCTATTATTTCCTTTTAGCAATGAACTTGAAAAAAGTTGATGGTTTGGCTCCTTGACTGCATTTCATATCAAACAAAAGTGTGATCAAGCTATTGAGTAAACAATTTATCCACAGAATTTTTGGGACTTTTTGGGCCCAGATAGAATCCAGAATGGATGTGACTTAGGTAGAGGGCTAGACTGTAGACAGAAATGGCTTAAGAAACAACCCACAGGGGTTCTGGAGGTAAAAATGCTTGCAATGCTTATGTTCCAATGCTCAGGAGTGATATGGAGGTAGGCGGAACTGCTAACCGTTCTCTGAATTCTAATTCTCTTACTTCTTGTTAATTAAACCTATAATAGTTTAAATGACTTTCCAGCCTGAGCATTAGCTAATGAACTGAGTATCAGAGGAAACAAGAAATCTAGTATAGATAATTCGTTAAGTTATTTAACTAGCTTGTGTTTTATACCCCACTGTTCTCATAACTCACAGGGGTTGTTTTTTGTTTTGTTTTGTTTTGTTTTTAATTTTCAACTAACAATGTTTTCTTGGTTAATGGGTGGCAAATTATAAATAAGATCAAATAATTAATAATGTGATATATTTGTGTATTAGCCTGTCATGTATTCTGATGCTGACACATCCCAGTTACCTGTAGGGAGACCAAAATATGAGACCTCTGGAGCTTAGCAAATGAGCTTAAAGCCAAACACCCCTTACAAAGTAGAACCTCTTTGTAAATGGTTTCAGTGTCGCTACATGGAACAGTGCACCACACCCAGTAAGTGTGTGGGTTACAAAAGGATTTATCAACTCACACTAGATTCCAAGTTCCATTTTCAATCCATCAGGGAACTCACCAGAACAAGCTTCACTGAATCAGCACAAATTCTTAGTAATTGATAAAATTACTCAGAGTAGAAGGCCAGATTTTGCAGCCTTTACCCATGGGAGCTGCCTCCCTAAGGCTATGTCTACACTACGGAGCTTTCTTGAAAAAAGGTATGTGAATTACACTATGCAATTCGTGTACCTTTTTCCAATAGTTTTTTTTCAGAAGAGGCTTTCCAAAATTTGGCCCATCTACACTGGGCCAAATTTTGGCAAAAAAAAGCCCTCTTACAGAAGTGACCTTCTTCATCGTGGAAGAAGGAAGACGGCTTCCGAAAGAGTGCATCTGCTCTTGCGCAAAAAAAAAAAAAAAAAAAGCGGAAGAGCAGTCATGTTCCCTGGATGTGGCATTTTTTTTTCCAGGATACCTTTGATATCCCAGAAAAAAACACATAGTGTAGACATAGACTAGGACACTGAGGCTATGTCTACACTATGAATTTTTTTGGCAAAAAATATGCTAGCGAGGGACTAATTTGCATGAGTTGCAATCTTATGTGCATATTTTCTGCTGATCTTGCAGAAAAGGGGATTGTTGCACAAAAAGGAAAAGTCCACACTGCTTGTTTTTGCGCAAAAAACCCCGTAGTTCAAAAACAGATTGGCATAAAATATGCAAATGAGATTGTGACTCATGCAAATGAGTCCCTCATTAGCATATTTTTTTGCCAAAAAAACCCTCATAATGTAGTTGTAGCCTGAAGTACAATGCAGTGTGAGTAAAGCTTGCAGAAGAAGGCCCAGAATCATCATGGCAAGCAAGAGCTCTGAGCTGAACCCCACCTACAGCAAGAAAACAGAAGCCCTGAATGTCAGGCTTCCCCTGCAAAGTACATGTTTGTTAAAACTGTCAGAACCAGTGTGGGTAATGATAAAGGGGGATGAGGCAGAGAATCACTACACAGACCTGTTCCATTCAGCACCTCAAACCAGCTAACACAGTACTACAGAAAGATAATAATTAATAATAATAACTAATAATGCAAGCAACATACCCAGCGATAATAAAGTCTCCTCTTTGGAGTTTTTCTTCTGAGACACGTTTTGCTTCTCTATAATTTTAAGAGTTAAACTTGCAGTTAGAGACATAAAAGCTGTCTGAAGTCATAAGCAGTATGATCAATAAAATAACATAAACCATCAGAGTACTATAGTTCAATATTCAGTGATTAGTGCATGGCCATGTATCTGTGACTCTAAGCAGAGCCGTGAGAAATAGTGGCCTCTGCAGAGACAAGTTACTGAGCCAGATGGATTATTGTGTGGGGATGCCTGTGCTTCACCTGGAAATGGAACAGTTGGGTCTCCAAAAAAAATGTGCCAAAGGAACCAGAGTTCCCCAGAGCTGGTGTTGAAACTCCAACCTGTTAAAGTTAAAGGAATTCCACTCCTTCAAAGCTTCCATGGGCTATCAGGCTGATTATCTCCACCCTTGTCAATGCTAGACATGCACAGCAAAAGATGACCTAGAGGGACCATGGCCTTCCAAGGGGTATATTCAATAACAGGCATTCTGAAAGGTCAAGGACTGGGACCACTGTATGTCTGGTACCATTCAAACAACGATCAAAATCAGGTCCTTGTTGCACAGAATTTACTGTGTAAAATGAGACATAAGAAAGATAGTGGTGGCAGTAGTATATTTTTACATGTAATATATAATATTTTATATATGTATACAATGCTATTAAATTGTTGAACTTTTTTCCTGACTATTATTCTCTCTAGAGGTGTGTCTATGCTGCATCCTAAACTTGAAATAAGATATGCAATTTGAGATACGCAAATTGCATATATTATTTTTATTGTATTACAAAATAGTTTATTTAGAAATTTGGTGCATCTACATACTGCCAAATTTTGAAATGTGCTATTTTGACACATCCCTTAACCATAGTAGAATGACAGTTACAGGTATGCTGTAATAGCACACCCATTATTCTGAAAAATATTTCCGAATAACAGGCACATTTAAAAGACTCAGCGTAGATATTTTGGGATACCTCTGGTATCCTGAAATAGCCCTGCTGCCTAGACATACCCTAAATCTAATATCTTTAGTTTCTAAAAATGAATCTTTTGCAGGATTGTTTTCAGAAATTAAAATCTGAAGAGCCTGGGATTTTTTTTAAACGATGAATAACAGATTCATTCTCTGTGGAAACAGCAACACTGGGCCTATCCATGTCAGTTACATGACCAAGGGCTCATATTCCTGTATGTCCAGCAATGTGATTTATGATATCATGTGCCAGCAATGACCCTCAGTGATGTATATTGAACAAATTACTCAGTCACTTCACCAAAGAATTACTGCCCACAAATCAAACATCAGACATCTCAACACAGAAAACCCTGTCAGTCAACATTTTAATCTAACTGGCCATTCCTTTAAAGACCTCACAACTTGCTTCTTATTTCAGCTCTTTGAATTAACACCAGATTATGCTTAAATTCGACATGCTGGGAATAGGCCTTAATAAAAATGCTAATTGTTTTACTCCTTACAAAGACAGCCTCCCCACCTTGTAGTAACTCCAGATTAGCCACTCAGTGATTTACAATAAACTATTTCCTCCTTCCTTGTGTCTTCCTTGCTCTTCACCCCACTTTCTGTTCTAGTAGCTGATTTATTAGTTTATAATTTGTTTACTTTCTTCATTGTATTCCTTTGTTATATATGGTCATGCCTATTCACTTTCAGAATATAATCTGAAGAAGTGAGTCTGTCCCACAAAAGCTCATCACCTAATAAACTATCTTGTTAGTCTTTAAAGTGGTACATATTTTTTCTTTTGTTTTTCCTAGATTCATACTCATCACCTTTATAGCCACGAAATGCCCAGACTCCATTAGTAAGAAGAAGTAGCACAAATGACACCCAGAATGCAGCCAGCCAGGGAGAACTTTGAGGGAAAATGTCATCTGTGAAGCAAAAAAATATAATAGTGCATAAGAAACATGGTCCCATCCCAGAATTGGAGGAATGAGACCCAATGATACTCAGCCAGTCCTAAGGATTCTGTTGCATGTAGGGAAGATGCTTGGATTATATTTCCTCAGGAACAGATTTGCAAAGGAATTAAGGTGACTGAAGTGGCAGATAGGAAACTAGTGAGATTTTCAAAGTGCCTCAGCAGATGGGTGATCTTTGAAAATCCTGGGAAGCATGAGCAACCCACATCTTTAGACACCTCAGTCCCTCACAAAATGATCTTTCGTTCTCCCACCTTTCCACCGAAGAAGTCAGTACTATTGGTGAGTGCAAAATGGTGCATAGATGGGGGAAGCAGTAAGAGTGATGTATATTGATTTAATAAGAATTTTGACAGGTCACATGAAATTCTCATGAAATGAGTACAGGAAACCCTTGTCATTTGTGGGAATACATTCCTGGCACCACTGCGAATAGTGACATTCACGAATAATAGAAGCTGAGGATACCATCTCTCATGGTGAACTCCCTGCAGGTCCCAAACTCACTCCAGACTGGGAACCATGATTAAACCATCTTGTTATTCTTTAAAGTGCTGTTTTTTGTGACAGAGATTAGGGGCTGCTATGAGTTCCCTCCGGCTCCCAGCCTTTGCCAGCCTCCTTTGCTGGCACAAGAGACTCACACAAAAACACAGTGCCACATATAGTGATTCCGTGAATCACGAGAGTCTCATGTATAAGGAGGATGCACAACTGGCTGAAAGACAGTACTTAAAGGGCAGTTATCTTTGGTTTACTGTCAAATTGAGAGGTCATGTCTAGTGGAGTCCAACAGGTGGCAGTTCTACATCCAGTACTATGCTATATTTCATTAGTAATTATTGGGGAGAATAGGCTATTAATATTAACAAGCTCAGAGGACTCACAAACATTTTGAAGGACAAGATCAGCATTGAAAACAAGTGTAATACAACAGAAAATATGTTTAAATTCAGCAAAATGTATTTCAATAAACATACCTATAAAGTGCTTAATTTAGGAAGAAAAATAAATGCACCCACACACAATGGGGAATAACTGGCTAGCTGGCAATACTGCTGAAAAAGATAAGAAAATGGGTCAACAATATGATGCATCTATGAAAGGGTGCATTTACACTGCACCATTATTTCAAGATAACTACCATTATTTTGAAATAACAATGTGACCATCTGCACAGCTATCCCATTATGGTGAAATAATTTTGAAATAATGGATGGCTTGCTCCAAACTCTGTAAATCTCAAGGAATAATGACTATTCTGAAATAACTATTTCAAAATAAGGCATGTGTAGATGTGCCACTGCTGCTATTTCAAAATAGCCCCTCACGAGGACCATTCTGAATTATTCCTCCCCAGTGCCTCCTGGGGCTCTAAATCAACATAGTACATCTGCATTAGGGAACCCTGGCTTGGTTCATTTTAAGGCGTCCCTGCAGTGTAGACATGCTACTTCGAAATAAGCTATTTCGGAATAATTATTCTGGAATAGCTTCTTTTGAAATAGGCATGCAGTGTAAACACACCCAAAAGAGACTAATATTCTGTCACCTTTTAACAGGAGTATTGTTTGGAAGGCACAGAATGTAATTGTCTTACTCTAGTCTTCATTGGTGCTGCCTCCCATAGACTTTTGCATCCAACTCTGCAAGCCACACTTGTGAAAAAGTCATAGGAGAGAAACAAAAATGAGAAAAGGAATAAAAACCTGACTTCTGCAGACAATTTTAAAAATCATCTTATTTAGCCTTGAAAAAACAAGACTGAGGAAGGAGCTTATAACAGTCTTCAAACATGTTATGAAGAGGATGAGGCCATTATAAAGACGACAGTGATCAATTGTTCTCCCTGTCCACTGAAAGTAGGACAAGAAATAAGGGGTTTGATGTGAAGCAAAAGAGGTTTGGATTAGACATTAGGGAAATCTTTCTAACTATAAAGGTAGCTAAACTCTGGAACAGGTTTGTGGCATCCCCATCACTAGAAAAGTTAAAAAAAGCTGGATAAAGACATGCCAGAGAAGGTCTAATTTTGGGCCTGCTTCATTATAAGGGATGAAACGTAATTTTTCATCAATTCCATCCATGAGCAGAGTGAGTTTTAGCTACTGCACCAATATTGAGGTCATGTGTGCTCATTTGGATGTGTTCCACCATAGCACCCAGTTTATTAACACACAAACATGATCCCAGCCCCCACAGCAGAATCCCTCTCCTCACCATGCAGCATGTCCCATTCTTGGCTGCTGGAGCAGACCCTGCCTCCACCACCCCCACTATTTCTGGCCACAGTTGCCAACACAGGCCTAGTTCCCCTCTGACAAGTGGCAGCCCCAGCCATTGGAGAAAGCCTCCCCCCAAAGGCTGCAGAAAGTCCTGGCCCCTCGGTCCAGTGGCTCCCCCACCATGCTGTCTCAGCCGGCTCCACCCACCAGAGCACTTGTATCTGATGTACAAGTTTTTCTGCGTGACTCTCCAGAGGAAGAGTTTTTTGCATGGGAAGAATTTTGTGTGTGTGCTGCGCAGTCACGCACTGTAGCGGGAACTATGCTTCCAACCTTGTATCCGTGAATCATCATTTTTCCTCCTAAGTGAAGCACTTTACATTTATCTTTACTGAATTCTCTACAGTTCTATGATGCCATGTCTGTCGTAGACCCACTCTGCAATCTCCCAGGGAGAGTTATAGTTCTCTTTCATTTGTTGGGTACTTTCTGCTCTCTGAAATTAAAAAGTCACATTTTGCTATTTGCGTGTGGAAAGCCAAGCAGAGACAAAGGGTATATGGTCTCCAAAGTCTACAATGATCTGGGAAAATATTTAAGACCAAAATCCACGCTATAATGAGCTTAAAAAACAAACAAACAAGGTTTGTTCTGGTCATGGTTTGTTCTGGTCTGTGCCCATTGGCCAACACCTGCTGGGTCACTGAAGGTGATCCAGAATGAAAAATTGAGAATTTTCCCCCCAGTCATTCTTCATGCATAGGCCTGGGCCTCTTGCCGGTGGAGTTCAGAGGCCAGGCAGTGTTACCTCTTGGAGCAAAAGCACAGTGTGATTCCCAGCTCATGTAGATGTGCCTGCACTAGCTCTGCTTGAACTAGAGAAATTAGCACTGTGCCTGGGGTTTTATGGTAGCAGTTGGTCCCAGCTGGTCTGGGTGTGTGTCCAGGGATCTGGATGGTTTGATACTTGGGTGACTAATCTGAGCTGCCATAATTATTACCCTGCTTACAGGAGCCTGGTAGGTGATGGCAAAGGAAGCAACAGCTCCAGGGCCCAGCGATTCAAAAGTGCCTGGGGTTCCCAGCCTCTGCTGCTGCTATTGAGGTGGCAATGGGAGCCTTTAGCCTTTAAAATCACTGCTGGAGCCCTGGGAGTTGAATTCTATGCGATGTTAAGGGCTGGCTGAGGAGATGCACTCGTGACAGCGCTGAAGGCTAGCTGTCCCCAACCCTGTCTCTTCCACCCAAGACTCTGCCCCTTGCAGGAGCATGTAGCCAACCCTGCCAGCCACCTTGCCCATGGCTTGCATTTCTCTCCTCTAACTTGCCCCAGTTGCACTGGTGTTCTAGCTGGTGCTGGGCTAGAGTACGGATATCTATGGGAATGGGACTCAAATGTCTCTCCAAAGCCACAGAAACATGGTGACAACTTATGATTACAGTCGTGTGGGTCACAACCCCCTCATTAACCTGTGTTACTACTGGTGCGTGTTAATACAAGAAAAGAAACTAAACATGTAAAATGGAATTTGGCTGAAGAGTCTCCGCTGGGACACTCATGTTAGAAAATGCAAAACGTGATTTTATTTTTCATCCAGAGCTATTACACATGCAGTGAGAATGTGAGACAATGATTGCTGTGTCTAAACTGGCTCAATCTTGCGCAAAAGTGACCGTTCTTGTGCAAAAAATTGCTGCCTGTCTACACTAGCTGCGTGTTCTTGCACAAATTCTAATGTATAAAATCAGGGCTTCTTGCGCAAGAACTCTGACTCTCCCGCTCAGGAATAAGCCCTTTTGCGCAACTGTTCTTGCTCCAGAGGCCAGTGTAGACAGGCAACATGAATTTCTTGCTCAAGAAAGCCTTATGGTTCAAATGGCCATCAGAGTTTTCTTGCGCAAGAGTGTCTACACTGGCATGGATGCTCTTGCACAAAAGCACATGCTAGTGTAGACGCTCTCTTCTGGAAGAGCTTTGCAGAAGAACTTTTCTGCAAAAGAGTTTTTGTGTGAGAACGTGCCAGTGTAGACATAGCCTGAGTCAGTTTGGATCTCTACAAAAAAAGGGAGAAGATTGCTTGTTATTCCCCACACTCCCCACCCCCATTACATAAAAAAAAAATAGTAGCCAAGGAGCAAATTCAAAGCGAGAGACCACCCCCTCCTCTTCCTCTATGACACCCTCCTGGGTGAGGGGTGACTCACCTGAGAGATGAATGGCAGATTGTTGCTCTGTCTTCAGTAGGTTATTCCTCACCACGCAAGCAATTGGTGCTGCTGATGCTTCTCCACCTGGGACAGTGACTTGGCCCAGAACACTATATAGATGGTCACTGTCCTGAGTCATTCCAACCTTGGACTCCAGCGCCAAGATTTGCCCTTTATTTCCAATCCACCGGAGCTCAGGTTTGGGGAACCACCCTCCAGATTTACAGGCCAGCCCAATCCCCTGGCCCTGGGGACCCAACACATCAATGAACACTGGAGCCACAGCTGCAGGGAGAGACAGAGAAATTAGATTCTTGATAATCAACAACCTACTGCTAACTAGTAGAAAACTCTATAAGGCTATGTCTACATTGCACACTTATTTCAAAATATGCTGTTCCAGAATAGTTGTTCCAAAATAGCTTATTTCAAAATAGCATGTCAACGCTGCAGGCAAGCCTCAAACTTAGTCTGAGGCAGACTTCCCTAATGTAGACTTGTTATCTCAATTTAGAGCCCCAGGAGGCACTGAGGAGGAATATAGCCCTATTTCAGTGGAGCATCTACACACACCTTATTTTGAAATAGTTATTTTGGAATATGCGTTTTTTTTCATAGACTCAGGTTTCCAGATTTTGGAATAAGCCATCCATTATTCTGAAATTATTTCAAAATAATGGAATGGATGTATAGATGCTCACATTGTTAAGTTGAAACAACGCTAGTTATCTCAAAATAACAGTGCAGTGTAGATGCACCGTAACTGACCAGGAAAGTGTGTGCCAGCCCTCTCAAATGGTTAGTCTAGTAAGCGTTGGCTAAGAAAAATAACTCTTCTATATCATAATGTTAGAATTCTCATTCTAACAAGATATAGAATGTACGAGTAAACAAATTAACCAATCAACTTAGTTTTTTACATGTGTAACACATTAGCCTCAAGACTCAAGAGGGCCATTACCAATGTAAAGCATTATTTAAAGATCACCCATTTCTCAATTTCTGGAAAGGAAATACAGTGGTGGTGAAAACACTTCATACTGCAACACTACACTTCAGTTTAAATGAGGAGATGAAGTGTGTTGACCCTGCCTGTGTCTCCACACTCCTTTCACAGGGCACGCTCCTCAATTCACCAAATGGTGAGGACAAGTTTCATGCAAAAGGCGCAGTGCCCCTAACACTGCACTGAGGTCAGTGCTCAGTTCATACCTTACTGAGTGATTCACTCCATTCTCTGCAGCACAGTGCCCCTTAGCATCCCATTTGGACACTGGGGTTAGTTAGTACTAGGATTGAATTTGTTATATCCCCAGAGCAGCAGGTAATGTTGCCGAGAAAAATCTCAAACTCTGTGATAGAATACAGGTCTGTATTCCCACCCTACACGCTACTGTAATAATCTTTGCACATGGTGTGAATTGTAAGTTATCATTGAAAAACTTCTAATTTGCTGGTCATTATTGTCATGGGAAAATATGTGTGGCAACATTGCATGTGAAGTTCCAATATTCCCCAGTATGATGTTAAAAGTTCATGATCATGAGCTATCTTGAACAATGGAGTGTGCATTTGCCTTAATTTGCACGTAAGCAGTAAAAAGAATCAGGAAGCAGAAAGGGAAAACAAAATAAGCACAAACAGGTGGAGACCATGCTTCCATAAAAACTGTACCCCTTAGTTCCCTTTTGGAAAATACAAAAAGAAGGCGCAACCATCCAAAGACACATCCCAAGACACCCCCTCTCTCTCCCTGTTTCTGGCATTGCGCTTAAGAAAAAAAATGGAAAACAGACATTGAGTTTTGTGGAAAGAGGTCCAGACTTGAAGAGCCAGTAGTTTTGCTGGTAGCATATGTTGAGAAACATTGGTAAAATCAAATGTAGTTTTCTAACTTAACCAGTAGTAGGTATTTTATCTTTATTTCTTGTAGTCAGTTCTGATCGTTGTGCCTCATTACTTGTGTTCACTTAAAATCTCTCTTTGATAGTTAATACATTTGTTTGATAGTTTAATTTAACCCAGTGGCTGTGTCTGATTGGCAAGTTTTTGCGCAAAAGCTACTGCTTTTGCACAAAAACTTGCCAGCTGTCTACACTGGCCGCTTGAATTTGCACAAGAGCACTAACTTTGTAATGTACAAAATCAGTGCTTCTTGCGCAAATACAATGACACTCCCACTCGGGCAAAAGCCCTCTTGCGCAAATGCTTTTGCGCAAGAGGGCCAGTGTAGACAACCCAGAATTGTTTTGCGCAAAAAAGCCCCGATGGCAAAAATGGCGATTGGGGCTTTTTTGTGCAAAACCACATCTAGATTGGTCACGGATGCTTTTGTGCGAAAGCATCCATGCCAATCTAGACGCGCTTTTGCACAAATACTTTTAACGGAAAAGCTTTTCCGTTAAAAGTATTTGCACAAAATCATGCCAGTCTAGTGTGTTTAAGCAGTTTGAGCAACACCAAACTGGTGTCGTGACAAGCTGGTTTGTATTATTCCCTTAATAAATGAACATAATAAATCTGGACTGCCTGGGAGAGGGTTGGACAGTGCCGGATATATATTTCTGGAGAAAAGTTGGTAACCAGAAGTCTGTTGGGGTCACCCTGCTGTATAACTCAGGTTGGTTAGACCAGACTCATAGGTTTCAGCTACACAAACACATGTGCAAGTTGCCTGCATGAAGGAGGCTGACTATGAGCAACTCAGGCTGTAGGTTACAACTGCAAGGCATTGCAAGACACCGCAGGTTAAATGGCAGTGCAGGGCACATTTTCTTATCAGTGTGGATTGTACTGTGGCATGGCATAGCCGGCCTGCATTCCAAATGAGATGATCTTGACATATCTTACCTGCAATCTGTAGCTCAGTGTTGACCTCATGACTCCATGCAGGAGACTTCACAAAACAGATGTATGTCCCAGCATCTGCAACATGGAGCGTCTTTAGCTTCAGTGATACATTCCCATTCCTCAGTTCCTGCTGGAACAACTCTGTCCGATTCTGGTAATTTTCTCCTGATGTGTCCAGATTAGGTTGATCTTTGTACCGATGGACATTCACATATCCAGCTTCATTGTGTGTCTGTTCAATTTTTGTCCACAGCACTTCCATGTCTGCAGGCCAAGTCTTGGGTGAGAGCTGGCAGGGTAACACCATATCTTGCCCAACAATCCCTATAATGGGGTGGGGTGATCCAGACAGGGAGAATTTCTCTGTAAGAAATAGTCCAAAAAGAACGGTGAAAGGGATATTCTGTCCCTGGGAGGAGAGGTATTCACCAGAAGTTAAATGAGCATAAATTCCAAGGCTGTAAAGGACCTTTGTTTTCAAAATGAAGATAGCTAATTACAATAAGGATAGATATTAGACACACACAGAGGGATAATTGATTAGCAGTACATCACCATATTGACCTCAGCTGATAATCCCAGAAGTGTAAGAGCCCAGAGTCTTTCAGCTGACCCAGTCTGTACAAATATGTCTGGATAGTCCATCTTGTATTTATAATGGGGCTGCGTGAATTGAGTTTTGTGGTTGGGTGGCTAAATTATAAAAATCATTTTGTTTGAGGTTTTGGTTTTATTTTCATTTTGCTTTGGCTTTCAGTGACATTTGCATTTTTTGGCAGGTTTTCTATTTAATAAAAATAAATGTAGTTCCATTTCTAACCATATGTTGAAAACTTTCATTTGAAAATATTGAAACAAAATATTTCAAACAAAAATAAAGTTTTTCTTTCACCCAAACAAAATTCTGGAATACTTTGAGTAGACCCAAAACTGCCGTCCTGCTGACTAGATTATTTGTCAAAGATGCTGCCTTGCTATACTTCATGACCCCTTTTTAGTCCGTTGTCCACACATTCTACTGCAGGGATGAATCATTGTGGATTTTTGCCTATTTCCAGACAAATATAACCAAGTGATTTCACTTGCTCCTTTTGATGAGCATGCAGGGTGGATGCTCTCTTGTGCAAAAGCACATTACTTTTGCACTGCGCTCTGAGGTGTGGATGTGCTCTTGTGGAAGAAGAGAATTCTTCGGCCAGCTGAGAAGCCTGCAGTGTAGACGTAGCCATGGAGGGCTAGTCTGCCCTAGACTTGCTGCAGCAGAGCAGTTGTCCTCATGTAGCTGCACTGCTGAGCACTCCTAGTTCAGAAGATCTCTCATCAATGTAATTACCCTGCCTCCCCCAGCAGTCAGCAGGCGAGCTTACGCTGCTGGAATTGGGCTGTCCATCGCAACCCTTAGGTCAGTGTAACTTGCAATGCTTCGGGAGGTGGCTTCACATAGAATCACAGAATCATAGAGCTGGAAGAAACCTTCGAAGGCCTTAACAAACATCCTGTGTATTAAGTCTAAATAAAGCAAGCACTACTGTGCACAAGCAATAAGTGTAAACCAGATTAACTCCCCTCTCCTGGTGCTTGGGCCACATGCAGAAATGACTGAGGCTCAGCAAGCAGGGGAGCATAATTTACCTCAGAGAGCAGCAGCTCCTGATTTCAGAATCCAAAGTCCCCCATTCAATCTCTCCTGCCCATGATTGGCCTGGAGTGGGGAGTTACTCAGGCAACACATTCCCTTTGCAGAATGCAGCAAGGTGGGGTCTCCTTCCCTGAAAGGTGGAGTGTAAAAGCTACAGGATCTAATCTTTTGCGGGCAGCTCTGCTAAGTCTGCTGTTCAGACAGGAGTCTCTTTTCCCCAGATGAGTTCAGGACAGCCTCTGCCTCGGCACTAAATCCTGACTTGGGAGCGCTAGGTTGTGTCTAGAATACACCTCTATGTCGACAGAGAGATGTAGATCAGGCAAGTTGAAATCGCTAATGAAGGTGGGATTTAAATATCCTGTACCTCCTTAGCATAAATATAGCTGCCACTTTTATTTTAAACAGAGTTTTTTAAAAAAAAACCAAACAAAACAGCACTCTATACACCAATCTATTGAAAATATAGCCTTTTTCAACAGATGTTGTAAACCTCATTTTTTTAGGAATATACGATCTGTCAAAAAAGGCTTTATTTTCGACAGATCTGCATCTAGACTGATGGTTTTTTATTTCAAAAATCCGTTTTGAAAAAAGTGGTGGCCATATTTATGCTAATGTGGCGCAGGATATTTAAATCCCCGCTTCATTAGCAATTTTGACGTGCTTGATTTGCATCCGTCTGTCGCCAAGAGGCAAGCATTTTCTAATCCCCTCTTGACCCAGTGGCCTGTGCTATGCTGGAGATCAAACTAGATCCCCACACTGGTCCCTTCTGATCTTGGGATCTACACATTGATTTGACTGAAGAGCCCGTTACTAAATACTAGAAGATTTACCTGAACATTAGAAGGTTTCTAAGGGGCTTAACTCAATTCATTTTTGTTTTTTGGAAAATGAAATGAAAATGTCCACGCTTCATTTAAATCGGTGCTCTGGGGTAGGCTGGGGAAGAGGGGTTCAGGGTGCAGGCTGCACTGGGGAGGTGAGCCAACCCTAGCTCTCTGTCACTGCAGCAGCTTGGGCCAGGTGAGAAGTGCCTCTCCATGGCAGCATCAGCTCCAGTGGGCACAGCTGGGGGAGGGGCTCATGTCCTTGATCTGGGACAGCTCTAGGTTGATCTGTCTCCTGCACTTCCCAGACAGAGAGAGATATGGGACAAACTGTACTTTCTCCTTGCACCCTGCTGAAAAAGAAATAGACAGCAATGTTCTTGCATGAATTGAGGGGGGTGGGTGAAATCAGCTCCCTCCCCAAAGGTCACCTGGGTGATGGGAGGCTAGGGGCTAGGCAGTCCTGGACAGGAGGGGGCATCTCCAGCCAATCCCTTTCACCTGCCTAGCAATTCTGTCTCTTTTCTGTATGATTGTATGAGACACAATCCCATTCCAGGCACATCCCATTCTCCTGGCTCAACCAAACCCAGACCTTGCTTTCGGGTATGATAAGATGTACACCGAATTTTGTGGTCCCAGCTCTTACCATTCAGGGGGCATACTTTAACTAACAGACAGACAGACACATGGATACAGAGACAGACACACAGACTCTCTCAGGGTACACAGACTCTATCCTCATTTTTTGAGGAGTAACGTTAGTTTGAACCAACAGGTTTGGTTCGAACTAACACATCCTGGCGCACACTTTCACTTTTGAAATAGCTGTTGAGCGGAATAATGCGCTAGCGAGATCATGCTAATGAAGCATGGGATATTTAAATCCCTATTTCATTAGCAATTTCGGTCACCTACATTTGCATCCCTAGTTCGAACTAGGGAGCAAGTGTAGACATACCCTCAGTTATATAGTAGATTTAGTCCCCTGCATATACTTACAGATTAATAAAGTTGCCCCATATCCTTTTCTTTGTAAGCACAATAGATTGAGTTAATTAAGTCCTTCAGCAAAGGCAGTTTTCTAATCATTTAATCATCTTGTGGCTCTTTCTGAACCCTTTCCAAGTTATCAACACCCTCTTTCAATCATGCACACTAGAACTGGACACAGGATTTGAGAGAGACAAGGCGGGAGAAGTAATATATTTTATTGGACCAACTTCTGTGATTGAGAGACACCAGCTTTCAAGCTTACTCAGAGCACTTCTTCATCATCAGAAGTTGGTCCAGTAAAAGATATTTTCTCACCCGTCTTCCTTTAATATCCTGAGACCAACACAGCTACAACAATATTGTAGAGTAGTTGCATCAGTGCCAATTACTGAGGTAATATGACCTCTTCTCTGTTGCTCAAGATTCTTCTGATTATGAATTCCAGGACCACTTTAAGACTTTTTGGCCACTGTGTCATACTTGAGGATTATGTATCAGCTGATCATTGTCCAGGAGCCCTAAATCTTTTTCAGTCATTGCTCCCAGGACACAGCTCCCCATCCTTTATGTACAGCCTGTGGGGTTGTTCCTTGATGTACACCTTGACCTATCTTGACATTTAATTCCATCCCTGTCCCTCCCTTCTCCAGAACTGCCTCTTTCTGAACTATTTAATTCCATCAAAGTGCTCCAGGAGGTTCATTGGGCCTAAGCCTCCACCTGCTCCAAATCCCACCTCATGGAGAGAAGATATTTGTGTTGTGGGACACCGGTGAGGATTGTGTCTGGAGGTTGGACGATTCTTGTTCAAAGTCACAGTGTTGCTGGATTATTTGACTTGAGGTGGGGGTGTTGATGTTCATTATGTGAAGAATTTTCAAAACCCTTGCCCAGGAAAATGGAGGGGGATCTTTTAAGATTCTAGTTGTGAAAATCCCAATAAAAGATGGAAAAGGAAGTCAGTGGAATTAAAGTGTCTTTACCAGAAACCGAATGGGTCAGCAAGATGAGAATCCCCAGGAGGTCTGCACTGAGCCACTGTGGAGCCATTGAGGCAGGTGGAATTTGTCAGGCAGGGACCTGAAAGGGAAAGAACAGTGAAAATAAAACCCCACCATGAGAATACCATATGAGAGACTCAACATGGACTACTCTAGGGGTGGGCAAATATCGGCCTGAGGGCCAGATCTGGACTAGCAAGGTTAGCCCTTGGAAGGTCCCCACACTGAGGATTACAGCTCCCATTGGCCATGGATCGCAATTTCTGGCCATTGGGAGCCGCGATCACCGGGACCTGCAGAGGGGCAGGTAAATATAGTGGCAGCCTACCAGGGGATAGTCCTAATAAACTGCTGCCATTTTATTGCTCTACCCAGATTCTAAAATCAAACACCAGCATCTCACTTGGGTGGAGAACAAAGGGTAGGTCTGCACAGGAATTCTCTACAGCTGCTTTCCATTGTGCTTGTCTGTTTTGTTTAATACAAGTTTTATCCCTCTCCCATTAGTGAACAGATTGTAGTTTAATGAACCCCGAGATTATGACACTGTGGTCCTGTCTCTACTTGGAGTGGCTGTGATGGGGAGGGTGGATTGGCAAAGGGGATTGTCCCAATTTTACTCAGAAGGGATTGCAACGGACACAAGGGACTTCACTGAAATTACAGCTCCTGCCCCATTGAAAGCAGAGTCCCAGCAAAGCCAGTAAAAACAGCTTCTAACCAGTGTGTAAAGGGGCCGCATGAACACCTCTCCTAAGTGTATAAATCCCCACAGTGAAATGGACCCAGGGGCCCATCTACTTCAATTTATCATCTCTGATGCCGTCCAGCACCAGCTGCTAGAAGCTGCAAAGAACCAGGCAGTAAGTAGATCTGGGCTAAGGTGACAATCAAAAAGCTTTATTCCTAACCCCCATCACCTACAGCAGAGCTCATGCACTGAGCCTGGAGGACGTATTACCCTTCCAGAACCATGGGACATTTTGTTTTTGTCTTTAACCCTTGTTATTGTAATTCTTGACCCTTCCCAGGGACTCAGGACTGCCTCCTGCATTGGTATTTTACTCCTCTCTCTGTCAAGTCCCCTGCATTGGTGGGGGGCGGGGAGGGGGAAGGATGGAGGGCGGGGAGGGATAGGGTTAGAGTTAAGGGAAGATTCTCCCTCCAAAGAAATTTCTCCTTTGGCTCTATCAGTGCTGCTTCCAAGGTCCCCAGAAAGTCACCCATGAGTGACATGAGGTATTCCCCTCCCCCACGAGAGCTGGGCGTTGGCTCTCCTCAGTGCTCCCAGCCCCATTGGCACAGAGATTGGACTTTGCCTGCCCACAAGGAAGCACTTTCTGATATCGCTCAGCAGCCCAGCCTCAGTGCAGAGGGCAAGAGTCTGCCCCCATCAACTGACAGCTTGAAACAAGAGCTGTGGTGTGGGGGGAGGGAATGACCCTGTGGCTTACTATGGGGTGTTAAGACCCAGACTCTGCAAAGGTGGGTGACCCTGTCAATGTCTGTGTGGCAGAGAGGGCTCAGCCCATCAGTCATCCTCCCAGCTGCTGGAGTAAGTAGTGGGGACTGTACTGTTACCCCTACTAAGGTAGAGAGATGCCCTCTTCCTCCCAAGTGGCCCCATTCTGCTTAGTCTCCATGGGGTGTGTCTAAACTACACGGCTGTGTCTAGACTGGCCAGTTTTTCCGGAAAATCAGCTGCTTTTCTGGAAAAACTTGCCAGCTGTCTACACTGGCCGCCTGAATTTCCGCAAAAGCACTGACTTCCTACTGTAAGAAATCAGTGCTTTTTGCGGAAATACTATGCTGCTCCCGTTCGGGCAAAAGTCTCTTTTGCGCAAAACTATTGCGCAAAAGGGCCAGTGTAGACAGCTGAGATTTGTTTTGCGCAAAAAAGCCCCGATCGTGAAAATGGCTATCGGGGCTTTTTTGCGCAACCCAACATGTCAAATACCTACAGAGGGGAAGTTGTAGTCACATACAGCTGGGGTGAGTTTTATTATTCACTTTCTTCAAATACCCCTTCTCTAGGCAAATTAGTAGTAAGTCTCTCTGGGTATTTCAGGACATTTAATTTTCCTTTCTGATCTTTATAGTACATGTTGTACCTCCATAAACCTGGCAATATCCATGATCCAACAGAACCATGCATGTACCTGGACCAGAGAGCATCGGGCTGGGAGTCCAGGGACAGCAGTGTTCAGCAGCCTCAGCAAGAGCTGGGAGCCCATAGGAGGCCCAGGGCCCAGAAGCTTCTACTGCTCTCATAAAATACACACAGAAGCTTTTGTTTCTTCTTTGTTTGCTGCTGCACCTGCTCCCCTTTCCTCTGCTTTTAGTTTCAAACACAGGGATCAAACTCAAGGTGACTAACGTCTCCTTCTCATTCAACGCTTCTGACACCAGGGAATGGTCTTGAGCGTCATAAAATATCAAACCAGTGAATGAGAAAGAAATACAAGCTTGTTGCAAACAAACTAGAGTGTATCTGTGGTGAACATTGTGCTCTGCATCCCTGCTTCCAGGGCATGGTTTCTAACACTATATTCCTAATGCTAGCCCTACAAGGAAAGCTCTCTAAATTACAATCTTGCCCAAAAATGTCTCTACACATGTCTCAGGAATGAAGAAATGGAGGTAAAGCCACAGAGCCGCCACCCCCGCCCCCAGTGTCATGGCTGGCACATGGCTCTGGGTTGCCCTATTCCGCTCAAAACAGGACAACACACAGGGCAGCTCTCGCATTTCTAGAAATTTCTATTTTCTACACAGGTCTTCCTCTCAGGACAGCAGCCCAGCTGTTGGCTCACAGAGGCCCCACAGTGTAGACAGGGCCATTTTGCACACAAAAAAACCTTTTGCGCAAGAACTCTTATTCCTCAAAAAAGCAGGTATACAGGATCTTGAGCAAAAGATTTTTTTTACCCCAGCTACACTGAGGTTTTTTTGCACAAAAACCTCTTCTGCAAAATGGAATGGAAGAGACTATGCAAATGAGAGCACGAGAAATGCTAATGAGCGCTTCTTATTCATTGTCTCTGCTGACAAAGGCTGCAGTGTAGATGTAGCCTGAGTGTGGTGGGGTTTCCGTCTCCTGCTGGAAGGTTAGGGAGCTTTGTAGGGAGCATGCAAAGAGCAGCCATCTCAAAAGACCCAGCCTAGAGCAAACTGGCAAGGGATCAGTCTCTCATCCATGGGGAGCAGCCTGATTTGGCACTCCCCAGTTGTGGTGATTGGGTGTCAATGTCTTGGATTCTAAGAATAAGCAGCATTCCATTGCAAGCATTCAGCGAGGGTATTTACATCATATCTAAATTCTCTCTGTGCATGCTGAGAACACAACAGGCACTGGGAGGCAGGGCTCTGATGTTTTGCTTGAAATCATGTGACAAATCCATATGCCCTGTTACACATATGCCCTCTGTTGATAGGTCTTGGACTTCTATCCATATGCCCTCTGTTGATAGGTCTTGGACTTCAAGTCACAAACACCACATGGCAATGTGATATCATAAGTAAATTAAGGACAGAGCCATGAATCTCACATCATTGGGTTGGTCTTTCACTGATGAGGGGAGATGGGATGGGGCTGTCACGCAGGTGAAATGTTCCCAAGAACAGTTGCAGGCAGCCTAGAAAAGTGTTAAGGCCAAAGAATGATGGAAAGGAACCTACCTTAATGCCTCAAAATGTTCTTTTAGTGGGAAGAGCCTTCCTTCAGCCATCCATGAAGCTCATTCCTGTGTTATGCACAAAAAAACCCCCCCAAGGAATCAATATGGGAACACTGTGAGAGAAAGGGAAGAAGAGAGAATGAACCATCCACTTCTTCAACAAAAGAATTGTCTGGAAACTGATCAGGGAAAGTGAAAGCACAAGAGAGCTGGTTACACATTAATCTTTGATACCAGTAAACTCATTGATAATGGATTTTTCAGTTCAGGGAAAGAACAAAAAACAAACAAAAAAGCCACACCTGGGCTGTGTCTAGACTGGCCAGTTTTTCCAGAAAATCAGCCACTTTTCTGGAAAAACTTGCCAGCTGTCTACACTGGCTGCTTGAATTTCCGCAAAAGCACTGACTTCCTACTGTAAGAAATCAGTGCTTTTTGTGGAAATACTATGCTGCTCCCGTTCGGGCAAAAGTCCATTTTGCGCAAAACTTTTGCGCAAAAGGGCCAGTGTAGACAGCTGAGATTTGTTTTGCGCAAAAAAATCCCCAATTGCGAAAATGGCGATCGGAGCTTTTTTGCGGAAAAGCGTGTCTAGATTGGCCACGGATGCTTTTCCCCAAAAAGTGGGTTACTTAGCGTGCCAATCTAGACACTCTTTTCCTCAAATGCTTTAATAGAAAACTTTTCCGTTAAAAGCATTTCCGGAAAATCATGCCAGTCTAGACGTAGCCCTGGAGAAAAAGATCTGCTCATATTATACTGAAATGGGATTTTTTCTTGTCAGAACTAACTTAACCCCACAACTACCTTTTTTTTTTAATGTAAAAAACCAGAAATAAAAAAGAAACAAAATGGAAAAAACAAAACAAAGCAAGGGGGTTTCATTGGTTTATTTAAAACAGAAATACAACTAATTTTTGAACAAAATATTTCAATATTTCATGAAAATGTTGTTTTGAAATTCTCTAAACAAATCATTTTGGGTTTTTAAAACAAAACTTGTATTTTGAAATGAAATTACTTGGCCTATTTATGAATAATTTATTATTATTTAAGAATAATCTGCTGCTTTCCCTGCCACCTCCATATTGTCTACAGTGCTGTCAATAATATACTTCAGTATCACATATGGGGTTCACCTGATCCTGTTTCTTTTTTTTTCATTGGTATTTCTATAAAAACAGATCTACAAAGCATCCCATGACTACATCCTAGAATCATAGAAACCTAAAATTGGAAGAAACTTCAGGAGTCAACAAGTCCAGCCCCCATTCCAAAGTAGGACCAACCGCAACTAAATCAACCCAGCCAGGGCTTTGTCAAGCCAAGACTTAAAATCCTCTAGGGATGGAGATTCCACCACCTCTCTAAGTAACCCATTCCAGTATTTCCCCACTCTCCTAGGGAAATAGTTTTTCTTAATATCCAACCTAGAACTCCCCCACTGTAACTTGACACCGTTGCCTCTAATTCTGCCATCTGACACTACTGAGAACAGCCTCTCGCCATCCTCTTTGGAACCTCCCTTCAGGAAGTTGAAGTCTGCTATCAAATCCTCCCTCACTCTTCGCTTCTGCAGACTAAACAAGGCCAAATCCCTCAGCCTCTTCTCCTAGAACATGTGCTCCAGCCCCTCAACAGAGGGACAGAGGAGGTATAGGCTCAACTTCCCCATATGCTTGGTGTGTGGAAAGGATTTAAAGTTTCCACTTGCTAAGTGAGTTTACCAGCTGCTGGAATCTCTCTGATTTTATTTCTTTAACTAGAGTCAAATCATGATGCAGAACTGTGAATTGATAGTTTGACTAAGGAAAAAGGTTAGCTACGTGCTCTTTGTAACCACCTCTGTTCCAGGACTTGTAAATATGGTCTGAATAAACAAATTACTCTAATAAAATAGCCAGACTGTGTCACTGATTTCTCTAGCATCAGGCATCTGATCTGCAAACACCCTAAAATCTGCTTTTACTCATCAGATGACCTACATTAAAATAACTAATTATACACCATACTTATAGAACATCTAGCAGAAAGGCCCAGAACTCAATGGACCAAAGAAAAAGAATTTATCTCTTTCCTAGATTTGGTCTTTCCAAGGCAAAGGATAGCTGAACTGTTAATGGGCATTCAGTGGGGAATTTTTGATTGTTGTTTTTTATGGATACATGGACACAGTAACTTTCTAAGAGTACATCTACACTGCACGCTCTGGCAACAGCTCTAGAAAGAGAAAGAGAGAAATGAGATGCTTGATAATCAACAACCTACTGCTAACTAGTAAATATTATTCCAAAATAGCCTGTTTTGAAATAGCACTTCTACACTGCAGGGAAGCCTCAAAATCGGTCTGAAGCAGGCTTCAGTAATGTAGATGTGCTCTCTTGATGTAGAGCCCCAGGAGACACTGGGGAGGAATAACTTAGAATGGTGCTGGGGAGAGGATCTTTCAAAATAGCAGAAGTGGAGCATCTACTCACGCTTTATTTTGAAATAGCTGTTTCAGAATAGATGTTATTCCTTGTGGAATGAGGTTTACAGATTTCCGAATAAGCCACTTACATCTTACTTTACTAGTTAGAATTATGTAAGGAAGCTGAAAGTTTATCACTCCAAGTGTGGCCCTGGGCTTTCTTTTGAATGTGTCCCATAAAAAAATTACAGAGGCACCACTCTCCTACTGAGTGGAGAAAGAGACTGAGATGCTGGATTCAGAGACACTCTACAGAGGGTCCCAGGATGGGCCCCTGTTAGGGTATGTCTACACTGCCACCCTAGTTCGAACTAGGGTGGCAACCCTCTTTCAGGGTACATCTCTAGGGGTATATCTACACTGCCACCCTAGTTTGAACTAGGGTGGCTAATATAGGCATTCAAAGTTACAAATGAAGCCCGCGATTTAAATATCCTGGGCTTCATTTGCATCTTGCCAGGCACCGCCATTTTTAAATCCCCCTTAGTGCGGACTCTGTGCCCACGGCTATACGTGGCACGAAGTAGGTAGTTCGAATTAGGCTCTCTATTCCGAACTACCAGTACATCTCGTTCCACGTGTGTGGAACGGTAGCTCAAATTAGAAAGCCTAATTCGAACTACCTACTCTGTGCCACGTGTAGCCGTGGGCACGGAGTCCGCACTAAGGGGGATTTAAAAATGGCGGCACCCGGCAAGATGCAAATGAAGCCCGGGATATTTAAATCCCGGACTTCATTTGCAACTTCGAATGCCTATATTAGCCACCCTAGTTCAAACTAGGGTGGCAGTGTAGATATACCCCTAGAGATGTACCCTGAAAGAGGGTTGTGAATGCACATGAATATGTGTGACTTGGCCAGAGGGCTGAGTAGCTGCAAGGCTTTTTAAAGACTTCAGCTGACTGAGGCAGTAAAGGAACCCGCACTCAGCCAAACAGGAACACTCATGGGAGGGGAGTACCATCCCATTACACGAATAATGGAATATTTACCACAACCCTTAGTAAATCGTTCCAATAGTTATGAACCTTCTCTGTTAAAAATTTGCATCTTGTCTCCACTTTGAACTTCAGTTGCTTCTTGTTCACTAGGCAATTCATGTTTACCTTCTTCTACAAAATAATCCCAAAGGGCTAACTTTCCAAAAGCTCCTCAGTGATTTAGGCAAAGTCTAGCCTGAATAACATAGGATAGAGAATTTCCTGAGCTATTTTATCTGTCATGACAAATACTTTCTGGATGAGCAAGAGTGTGTGTTTTAGAAAGACATCTAACCCTGATTTTAAGACAAGTAAATAATAGTAAATGTGCTGAAAAATGCACTTTTCCGGGTGCAAAAATTACTAGCACGCTCAGGTAAAAATCAATGAATAGTTTCAGGCCTCCCCTCTCCTCCCCAAAAAAACCCCACTCTAAAAACAAAAAAATTCAGATGTCCATTTAGAAAATACTGAAATTACCTTTTCTGACATTTCATTTAAAGTCAACATTTTCTAAAGAGATAAATAAAGAACAGTCAAATTGAAATGGAATTTCATTTAGAAGTCCATTTTACATTGACTTTTCATTTTGTTTCAAGTTGACACAAATGATTTTTCAGGGGGCCAGGTTCACGTCAGCGGGAAAATTATCCATGTAGATTAGAAGCAAAGCATAGTTTGGTCAATGTTTTTGTTCGGCCACCAGACTGAACAGTCCCATCTTTGCTTAGGGCCTGTAACAGGGCAGTTAGAGCCTGTGGTTAAGCCAACGCTGTTTACAGGATGGGCTTCATCCAAAAGGACTCAGGTGATTCCTACAGTTATATCTACACAGGTGCTGCAGGGAGCATAAAAGCTGCATTAGAGTCTCTGAGGCAGCAGGGGGAGCCTGGACAAGGGAGGATGGTCACAGCAAGGAGGAAATGTTCCAGGGTAGGCAGCTTGGGAAGTGATGTGAGTACGTCTACATGGCAACAGAATCCTCTGACACTGTGTCTCAGAACTAGCTCAGTAGAGTTGGGCTTGTGGGGCTTATGCTGCAGGAATAAAAACTTCAGTGTAAATGTTCAGGTTTGTGATGGAGCCTGGTCTCTGAGACCCTCCCTTCTCCTGGGGAGAACCTGGAACCCAGCCTGAGCCTCAATGTTTACACTGCAACTTTTAGATTTGAAGTCTAAACTCTATGAGCCTGAGTCAGTTGATGCAGGCCACCTGTGGCTGTGCAGAGGGTCATTCAGTGCTGTGCGTCTGCCAGAGGGAACTTGAGATGGGAAGCGGGAAGAGGCCAAGGGAACACCCCAGCACAGGTGAAGTTGCACACCTAGCTGTTCAGTACAGGGGCCAGAACCTGTCCTTGAGAGTGGGAGTGGATTCCCCTCTTGGCCCCAAGGAAGTGGGGCGGGGAGGTATACAAGCCTGTAGAAAGGCTCACCAATTGCAGGAAGGAGGTGGCTGAGACAGATTGAGTAGTTGCCTCAGAGAGGGCAGAAGAAATTGTTTCTGTTAAATATGTTTTGACTTTTAGTTTAGAGAGTTGTGACCCTGGAAGGGGGTGGACTAAACATGGTGACCAGGTCAGAGCCCCAAGTTATCTGGCAAGAAATGGCCACAAGGCTGCAACAATTGTCAGCAGGGGTGTTAGTCCAGCAACAATGCTGGGATGCCCTGCCCGGCCACCAGGGGGAGCA